TTTATCATGCGCATGCTGATAATATCAACTCTCTAGTTTTGAACAAACTTGGTGACAGTCACTTATGCGTTTTAGGTGACTTTAATTTATGCAATGTGCGTTGGTCGGACACTTTTTCGAACTTCGGGCTCACTCCTAACAATATAACTGCCTCGCATGAGTCATACCTCATCGATAGTTTTTTAAGTCTAAATCTTAAGCAAATTCATAAGTATGTTAACAAGTTAGATAGAATTCTAGATCTAATCTTCGTAAGCGACAATATAATCTGCAATATTGAGGAATGTTATTGTCCTATGTCTCAGTCTGACATGCATCATCTGCCACTAATACTGAAATTTGAATTGTATAAATTTTTAAAATCTGCTCCTGTTAAGCAGGTTATCTTCAATTACAAGTCTTGTGATTTCGGCAAGCTAAATAACTCGCTTTCCATGCTCAATTGGGATGAATTACTTTCAGTACAGGATGTTTCTACTTGCTATCATTCTTTTAAAACAATGTTAGTTGATTTATGTAGGGAAAATGTGCCTATTTTGAAAAATAACCACATAAGCTACCATGGTATAATCGGGAGTTAAAAAAGTTAAAGAATCTTAGGAATAAATTCTTCAAGAAGTTTAAAGTAACTGGAAGTCAGATTTTCTTTGATAAATATCAGAAATATGCTAAAGACTTTAATTGCTTACAAATTCCTTTATAAAAACTATATTTTTGGGGTGGAGTTGAGCATTAAATCTAATCCAAAAGCTTTTTGGCTTTCCATAAAGTCTAAGAAATGTGGCTCTTGCATTCCTTCGACTGTCTCTTTGGACGATAAATGTGCTAGTGGCCCTACTGAGGTGGCGAGTCTCTTCGCTGAATTTTTTAGTGCCAACTATGTCTATGATGATGGTAATTCCTGGCCTGCTATAAACCACGATTCAGCCACTGAGTTCAGCTTTGGGTCTCTAACTCTGTCACTTGATGACGTGGAAGCTGGCATTTCTAAGCTGAAACCGTCTACGAAAGCGAATGTTGATGCGTTGTCTGCCCTTCTCTTCAAGAACTGTCCCGGCCTAATTCTACCTCTACATCGTATTTTTAATTTGTCTCTTGCGTCGGGCGTCTTTATCGAGGAATGGAAAATTACTTCTATTAACCCTATGTTTAAGAGTGGGAATAAAAAATAATGTTCGCAATTACAGGCCCATTTCGAAACTATCAACTGTATCGAAGCTTTTTGAATCTATAGTCAAAGAAAAAATGCATTTTATCACTAAAAGTTTAATCCTGCCTAACCACACGTGACGTCTATCACAACATGATCAAGGGCTTGAAAGAATTTATGGCCCAATCAAGGCGGCGCCTACCCGCGATCTGCGAGCACGCCTATAAATCTTGAGGATTTGTGGCTTCCTTCCCCGCTTTCGCAGAAGGTTTTCCCAACTCTGCTTTGTAAAGATACCATTCAGCGATAAACGTGGCCCTGCGGTCTCTAATAAACAGCCATCGCCTAGGGTCAGAGACAGTGGCGGACCGTGAGCTCGATTTTTTTTTTTTAAATAAGGATCAAAACTTTTGTACCCCCAAGTTTGATAGGCATTTTATTTTATTACACTATAGGGCAAAATCAACTTTTTTTCTGGTTATTGGACCAAGGCCATTTTTTATAAGAGATTGAGTTATAAGTAAAAAAGTAATTTCTCCGTTTTTCGAACTTAGCCTCCGAAATCGAGATATGGGCCTTCGAAGTTCGGAATAGGACCTTTGGTAAAAAATTATTTTTAAGTATTGCATGTAAATAACTAAAAAAGTAAAAGTATAGACGTAGTCCGCTGTTTTCTCTTATTTAAACGGTATACAACTTTTTTTCTGCAAACTTATATTACAGGTCCCTTATAACACACAAAAATCAGTTCAACATTTTTTGAAATATAATTTTTTTTAATTTTTCGAAGATCAGATCCTTGACCCCTTATAGCACCTGTAACATAAAACTACACAAAAAAGTTTTGTTCGGTTTAAATAAGAGCAAAAGGCGGACCACAAGCATATTTTGACTTTTTTAGTTGTTTACATACAGTAATTAAAAATATTTTTTTACCAATGATCAAATTTCGAACTTGGAAAGGCCAATATCTCGATTGTGGTAGCTAACTTCGAAAAACGGAGAAATCAGTTTTTTAAATATGATTCAATCTCTTAAAAAAAGTTGTGTTGGGTTCGAATATACTAACTTTAAAGATTTAATGGTTGCAAGTATAACATAAGAGTTAATGTTCACGAACTTACAAGGGTTAACGTTAATTCACCACGAAGGAGTTAATAGCAAACGTCTTTTGACATTTCTTATTCTCTTTCGCTTATTGTTTTTCGGCTTTTGAATTCCTTCGTTAGCTTTTCTATCGCCTGCATATTTCGTTCGCCCGCTTAGAATCTCCGCATAAAAAGTGTAAAGTTTCTATTAACGAAATGTCATCTATCGAGACAACACAGCGCCTGTTGATCAAGTATGATTTAATCCACTTTAAAAAAAAACAGAATGGAAGCACAGATATGCTGACTTATGAAGTAAAATCGAATGAGAGACTCTATCAAAGGCTTTACTAAAGTCCGTATAAATACAGTCAACCAGGAAACCAGCAGAAAAAGACGTCGCACACTCCGAGGCCCAAAGATCGACTCGGATAACTATCTTGTTGCAGCCAAGATATGCACCCGCCTATATGCAGCAAAAAAAAATCAGCGCTCAAAAATGCAAGGAAAGCTAAACGTCGAAAGCTGCAACCAAAAAAATAGGGCTAATGCATTCGCTAATCGGCTCTCACACCTGCTCTCAGAGTACACTCTTCAAAAAACCCACATATGCGAACCACATTTCCCGATCATTAAGTACAGCCGCCGAAGCAGTAGTCGGACTTCAGCGTACCCGAAGAAACAACTGATACGATGATGAGTGTCAAGACTGTAGAAAAAAGGACCGCTATAGGGAACTGAAGAGATGAGCGGGACGTATTGCCGCAATAAGAAGAGAGAGGTCGAAATACGGGAGTGCAAAGAGATTGAAATGCTGACCGAGAGGAAAGACGCCCGAAAATTTTACCAGAGAGTTAGGTGACTTACCGAAGGTTCCACGATCGGGGCGAACTGCTGTAAGAAAAATCATGGCGAACAAGTGACCTATGTCCAGAACGTACTTAAATTATGGATGGAACCATCCCACTGGAAGGTAGCAGCAGTAAAAGTAGTGAAAAAGACGAACCCGGATCCACATTCGATGATGATGGAGTCGGTGTCCCACCGTCTTACCATGGCGAGGAACGAAAAGCAATTATGCGGCGGAAAAACAACAAAGCTGGAGCTAACGGCCTGCCATCTGAACTATTTAAGTGCGGCGGCGAGAAGTTGATAAGGTGCATGCATCAATTCTTATGCAAAATATGGTCAGGTGAACGCGTCCCCGATGACTGGAATTTGAGTGTGCTCTGCCCAATCCATAAGAAAGGCGACGCCGCCATTCGTGCCAACTATCATGGTATCAGCCTTTTTAGCATAGGTTACAAGGTCTTATCGAGGGAATTGTGTGAAAGACTGAACCCACCGTTAACGAACTGATTGGGCCTTATCAATGTGGCCTTAGACCTGGAAAATCCACCGTGGACCAGGTATTTACAATACGCCAAATCCTGGAAAAGACCCGCGAGAAAACGATCGACACTCACCATCTATTTGTCGACTTGAAAGCTGCTTTCAGTAGCACTAAAAGTAGTTGCCTATACTTCGCGATATCTGAAATTGGCATTCCCGCGAAACTGATATAGCTGTGATAAATGACGTTGAGCAGTACCACCAGCTCCATCAGAATTGGGAAAGACCTCTCCAAGCCGTTTGCTACCAAACGGGGCTTCAGACAGGGCGACTCCGTTTCATGTAATTATTTGATGTGATGTTGGAGAAGATAATAAGAGCTGCGGAACTTAACCGCAGGAACAATTTTTACGAGAGCGTGCAATTGCTGGCATATACCGATGACATGGACATCGTCGGTAATAAGAACACCGAAGCCTGTTCTGCCTTTTCCAAGTTGGACAAGTTAGCAAAGGGATTGGGTCTGCTAGTCAACGAGGACAAGACGAAGTAGTTACTGTCATCAAACAAACAGTCAGCGAATTCGCGTTACCGTTGACAGTTATAATTTCGAGAAAGTAGAGAATTTCGTTTACTTGGGAAGCAGCATTAACACCGATAATAATGTCAGCAGCGAAACCCAATGCAGAATCACTCTTACCAACAAGTGCTACTTTGGACTGAGTAGGCAATTCAGAAGTAAAGTCCTCTCTCGACGTACAAAACCCACACTCTATAAGTTACTCATCATTCCCCGTATATGGCGCAGAACGTGGACAATGTCAACGTTCGAAGAGGCGGCTCTTCGAGTACTCGTGAGAAAAATTTTGCGGAAGATGTATGGGCCTTTATGCACTGGCGACAGCGAGTACCGCAGACGACCGCACGATGAGCGACATGGACATAGTGCAGCGAATTAGAATCCAGCGGCTCCGCTGGCTTGACCATGTCGTTCGAATGGACACCGACGCTCCAGCTCTGAAAGTATTCAACTCGGAACCGCTGGTGGTAGCAGAGGAAGAGGGAGGCCCCCATTGCGATGGTAAGACCAAGTGGAGAAGGACTTAGCTTTACTTGGCAATTGGCTTGGTACTACGAGAGAAAGGCGGCCATTAGGGTCGTTAATAGGATAGGGGACCTGCCGGCAGAACAGCTGACGGAGGAAGAAATCAAGTCATTGGGCTGGGCGAGGGGAGTGGTAGCCAGCTTGGGCAAACCGGCAGGCTCTGCTCCAAAGAGGCAACGATCTGCTGAACAGGCAGGGGATAGGGTCGCCAAAAGACAGAGAACAGGTGACCATAAATACCCCCTCGTTCAGGGAGGCGGTGAGGTACTGGCCATCATTGACAGAGGGGAGGAGGAGGGGACCATCCCGAAGGAGAAATGGAGGCAGGTGGAGGAGGCTATTGCCGAAATCTACCTCCAGGTCTTAGAGGAAAACCCTGGACCTCCTCCTCGCTGCCATGATTCCGGTTGGTATCAAGGTAGGGCAAAGCTCATCGCTTGCGAGGACCATAGGTCAGCCCAGCTCTACAGGTTCGCCGTTAGCAAGGTAGGTGAGGTTTGGCCGGGAGCCAAACTAGAGGCGGTCAGCAAGGAAGAGATTCCTAGCAGACCTAGGGCTCGGGTTTGGATTCCGGCTAAACCAGCCGAGCCTGAAAAAATAGAGCGGATCTTTAGATCCTGCAATTGGAAGGTGGGGAAGATCGAAGAGCCGATAGGAAACAGAAGGCAGGTGTTGCTGATCCTCAACGCCGAATCGCTCGCCCCATTGGCGCAGAAGGATTGGGAAGTCAGATTCGGGTTTGTTGACGCAACCGTTCGAATCTACCGCAGCGACGAACCGGGCTTGGACCTTAATGAGGAGAGTGATCAGTCCGGCATGCGCAGCGGTGGTGAAGAAGGGTTGCCCAGCAGCCAATGCTCATCCGACTCAGAGAGGCTAACCGGTTTGGGGCCGCTGTTTTATGAAGAGGATCTCCTCGCCGATGACACCGAGGGTGAGGAGATCGAGGAGGCGGACGTAGATGTCACAATGGTGGAGGTAAAACGGACGTATTCTTATGAAGCTGATCCAGATCAACCTCCACCATTCTAAACTCGCGTCCGCGAATCTTGAGGTCCGCCTGGCTGCCGGTGGACTTGACGTTGCCCTCATCCAGGAGCCGTGGATACTCGGCAACAAAATCTGCGGGCTTGGGGTGAAGGGCTTTAAGCTAATTGCCGCACAAAATGCAGGTAAGACTCGAGCTTGCATATTAGCAAGGAACAACTTAAACATCTTCCTGCTCCCGCAGCTAAGTGACGGCGATTTGGTAGCGGCAAGCATAGAACTGGATAAAACCAGCTTCTGGGTAGCCTCTGCCTACATGGCCCATGACAAGGACGCACCACCAGAGGAGGTTCGGACGTTAGTCAAGGAAGCAGCCTATAAGAAAAAACAACTGGTTGTCTCCTGCGACGCTAATGCTCACAATTCGATGTGGGGGAGTACGGACACGAACGCTAGAGGTGAGTCGATACTAGACTTCATTCTAGGAAATAAACTTAGTGTCTTGAATTTAGGCTCAGAGCCGACCTTTATAACAAAGAGTAGAGAGGAAGTTTTGGACATAACCCTGACTTCGGACTCGTTTGTCCATAAAATCAAGAGATGGAGAGTACTTAGTGAAAAGTCTTACTCTGACCATTGTTATATTCAATTCGAAATAGATCTTAAGACCCCCCATGTTAGGGAGTTCAGAAATGTGCGTAATACCGACTGGAGGGTTTACAATAAAAAACTGGGGACTTTATTGCCAAAGATACCTCCCCGGGACCCCGCCACGCGGGTGGAATTGGACGGGTTGGTTAATCAGGTCACTAAAGCCATGAATAGTTCTTTGTCAGCCGGATGCCCGGTTGTTAGATACAGGGGGAAAAACAAACCACCTTGGTTGTCAAAACAATTATCCTCGTTACGTGAATCCAATAGGACAATGTTCAATAAGGCCAAAGCCACGAGAACAACAGAGGACTGGGAAGCCTATAAGGCTGATTTGAAAATATACAAAAAAGCAGTTAGAACTGCGAAACGTAAATCATGGCAGAGTTATTGCAAGGGAATTGAGGAAACCACGGAAGCGGCCAGATTAAGAAAAATTCTTGTAATGTCGCCATGCAACCTTGGCTATCTCAAGGGTCAAGGGAACTCATGGACTACGACGAGCGTGGAATCTTTAGGTCTCGTCTGGACACACACTTCCCTGGAAGCAGGTCGATGGAACTTAACGACCCCATAAATGACGGGCTATCTGATCTAGGAAATCGACTGATTACTAAGGCGAAAATCGAATGGGCTATTAAGACTTTTGGTCCTTACAAGTCACCGGGACTGGACGGCATACACCCGGTAGAACTGCAGCAATCACGGAGTATTATCTCCCCATTCATTGCGTCTATTATAAGAAGCTGTCTTAACATGGGCTATATTCTGCTAGGCTGGAGAGAGACAAAAGTCTCCTTCATACCTAAGGCAGGTAGGGCCTATCACATCAACCCCAAGGACTTCAGACCCATCAGTCTTACGTCTTTTTTGCTCAAAATTTTAGAGAGGATAGTGGACGATTATGTACGGGGCGTGATACCAACTAGTAGGCTCTCCCCAGCGCCGCATGCCTATACGAAGGGCAAATCTACGGAAACCGCCTTGCACTCGCTCGTCGGGTTGGTGGAAAAAAGTTTATCTGATAAAGAGTATACTCTGGTTGGCTTTGTTGATATAGAAGGCGCCTTCAACAACATTAAAGCAAGCGCCATAACGGGTGCCTTAGAAGAGCTTGGAGTTGACCACAACGTAGCGGCGCTGATTAAGTCTATGCTTGTCAGCAGGAAGATAACCGCTAAGCTTGGCAACACCACAATAAGCAGAGAGGTCTGTAGAGGCACTCCTCAGGGAGGGGTTCTCTCCCCTCTTCTCTGGAATTTGGCAGTAAGAGAGGGGGGGCTGCCACGTCACTGCATATGCTGACGATCTGGCAATTGCCGTTAAAGGTAAATACCCTAATACCCTAATGGAGATTTTGCGCTCTAACATGGCCACGCTTAGGAACTGGACAGAGAGTAGGGGGCTCGGAATAAACCCCGAAAAAACTGAAGCAATTCTCTTTACGAGGAAACATAGGCTTCCCACAGTCTCACCGCTAATCTTTATGGGTGTGGAGATATCTTTGAAGGAGAATGTTAAGTATCTAGGACTCATATTAGACAGGAAACTTACGTGGAAACCTAATATAGAGGAAAGAGTAAAGAAGGCCAACGTTGCACTACATATTTGCAAACAAGCGGTCGGAATCAAGTGGGGGCTAACACCTCGTATTACACATTGGCTTTACACCTCGGTGGTCAGGCCAATATTATTATATGAAATACTCGTATGGTGGCCAGCAACTCAAAAGTCAAGTTACCTAAAACTATTGAGTAAGGTCCAACAGCGTTTTTATGCATTTCAGGCGCCTTAAGGACCACCCCAAACAAAGCGCTAGAGGTGGTAACCAATCTGCCCGCATTAAACCTGGTGGGAAAATACGCGGCCGCCGATTCAAAGCTCAGACTAAAAAGCATGGTGCTATGGAAGGATCGGCGGTTCGGCCACGCCTCTATACTTCACACTCTGGGTAGTCATGAACAAGAAGTGGACTACTCCGCCCCTAAACCAACCTTCGATAGGCTCTTCAAGACGAGCATCCCGTCAAGAAGAGAATGGCAAACACCAAGACCATGGAGAAGGTGGGAACTGAATTTTTATACGGATGGATCCAAGCTAGACAATAGGGTTGGCTACGAAGTTTTCTCCAAGGAACTAGGACTAGAATTATCCGTCCGAATTCCGGACCACTGCAGTGTTTATCGGGCAGAGGTTTTAGCTATAATGGAGGTGGCTGTGTACCTTAGTACGCATGTCGTAACGAGGACTACGATTAATATTTTCTCGGACAGCCAGGCGGCCATTAAATCAATGAACATGGTAATACTGAGATCGAAGGTTGCGCAGGAATGTCTAGCAGCTCTAAACGATATCAGCGCCCTGTTCAAGGTCAGCCTAATTTGGGTTCCGGGACATAGAGACATTGAAGGAAATTGCAGGGCCGATGAGCTTGCCAGAAAAGGTACCAATCTCCCCCTATGTGAAAACAGAGGCACAATTGGGATACCCATGGCAACCTGCAAACGAGAACTTCGAAACAGCATGATCCAAGAGGCAAACAGGTCATGGCTAGAGGAGGGCACTTGTAGAACAACTAGGCTACTTTGGCCACAAATAGATAAGAAAAAGACGAAAGAGTTGCTCAGCCTCTCAAGAGAGGATATTGCAAGGGTCATGGCTTGTGTTACCGGTCATTGGCTATTTGTCAGGCACTCTTCGAGACTAGGAATATTCTCCCACGAATATTGTAGAAGTTGCAGGGTTGAGGAAGAGGAAGAAACCGTAGAGCACTTCTTCTGTAGCTGCCCAGCTCTGGCCAGGAGGAGAGCAGGCTTTTTAGCTAGGCCCTTCTTTAGCTCTCTTACGGAACTATCATGCGTAGGAATAAAGCCAATCCTACGCTTTATAAGAGCTTCGAAATGGCTCTCTGAAGATTAGTCACAGAGGTTCCCGTGTTCTGCAGTGGTATCACAATGGACCTTCAAAAAGGTCTAAGTGAGTTGGTAATTCGAACCGACTGCCACATCAACCTAACCTAACCTATGGTTCCGAAGTTATAACTGGTAAAATATTCCACGCCTTTGGGATTTGCCGCCCCCTTTCACAGTCTCATTTATAAATATACCTTATACCTTTTATAAATATACATTTCAAGTTCATGTGACTTATGGTTCCAAAGTTATGACTGACTAAAAATCAACGCCAATGTTATCTGCCACGCCCCCTTTTACAAACTCATTTATATATTCCTTAAGATCAGAGCTGACGTACTGCTTTTGGGAGTAAACGTACTCCTTGTTATTGCAATGTACTCCCAAAAAAAATATCTGGAAATGTACTCCTTTCTTAGTTTTGTACTTCTTTTGTACTCCTTCTTCCAGCTATTAATATTTTATCATATACAGGGTGTAAAATAATAACTGTTGCACAGGTTTTTTTTTTTTTTAATAAAAGCGACCTTTATAGATTTTGCTAAAAAAGTAGTTTATTGTTAATAATAAATAAGGTTTTCAATTTTAAGCTTCATTTGGGTTTACCAGCAGTAAACACTTTGAGAGAAAAGCGCAAGCGGTACGCAAATCTTCGTCGGTTACTTTATTACATATCCTCTGTAATGTTCTTGGCTCCTTTATACTCGGTCTTTGAAAATACTCGGAACTGGTGACTAGGAGGCCATCATTCGACCAACCCTATAGTTATTTATTTTTAACAATTATTGTTGCTTTGAAATACATTTCTATGATATCTTTGTTGTTTGTACCTAATTAATGGTAATTTGTAAGAATAAATTGCACAAAAAATTAAAACAAAAATTGTACTCCTTTTTTATGTTTTGTACTGCTTTTTTTTCTATCGAAAATAGAAATGTACTCCTTTCTCCGTTTCAGAATCTGGCAACCCTAGAGCTGGGTCGTAATGATTCATTTAGGAATTAAATTACTCCTAATTACAGATTACAAGCAGTTGTAATTAGGCATCAATTCTTTCAGTCCACAGCAAAGGAATCGATTACTTTTTCAATTCCTTGAAGTAATTTCAAATGTAATTGGTTTTTTCTTTAATTCCATTACAAGGAATTTCATATTGTAATTGGAATAAATAACGTGCTAGTAATGTAATTTTTTTTCCAATTCCTTTGAAATTGATTTTTTTTTCAATTCCATTACCTGGAATTGCAAGAGTACTTTAGTTTTTTTCAATTACTCAAAGGAATTGTAAAAGTAATCGAGAAACTGAAAGTTCATTCACGAATGTACAATGTGGAATTCTTGTTGTGGTCAAAGATTAAAATCGAAAGCACACATTGGACGTCTTCTATGTATATCTATATACATATACAAAAATGATGTGTTCGTATGTCACGGTCATCAAAACCCGAGAACGGCTGAACCGATTTGAATAATTTTTTTTATTATTCGGTATAATACCAGAACCACTGATAACGCAAAAATTTGGAGGGTTGTCACCTATTTTAAAATTTTTAAACCCAATTATACTGATAAAATGAATGAATTATTACAATGTGGGTATCAAGTTAAAGAGGTTTAAGAAAGATAACTGCTGGAAGTAATTTTGACGAGGGTTGCCACCTATTTGAAAATTTAAACTCAGTCAAATTGTTACAAAAAATTAAATATTGCCATGTGGGTGTCAAACTAAAGAGTTTTAAGAAGGCTTACTGCCGAAAATATGTTTGAGGAGGGTTGCCATCTGTTTGAAAATTTAACTAAATTACATTGATAAAATAAATAAAATATTACAATTTGGGTATCAAATTAAAGAGGTTTAAGAAAGATAACTGTTGGAAATATTTTTGAGGGGGGCTGCCACCTATTTGGAAATTGTAACTCAGTTAAATTGATAAAGTAAATGAAATGTTGGCATGTGGGTGTCAAACTAAAGAGTTTTAAAAAGGCTTACAGTCTACCATGAACACTACCAGAAATATGCAATACGAAAAGTTCGGTTTATATGGGAGGTGCCACGCCCCGTTCTCCAACCATGCAAATTTTTCTCCATGAGTATGGAATTGGTCTTATATATGTATATATCACCATACCAAGTTTTAGTCCTCTACCACAAATATATGCAGTTTCAAAAATTCGGTTTGTATGGTAGGTGCCACGCCCCCTTTTTATATCGAAACCATTTTTGAGCCTATAACCATCCTTGAAAAGTCTGCAGTAGATTCCGAAATATACGGTACGGCCTTTCTCGAGCTTTGCGAACAGAAAAAAACGCCTTTCAAAATATATATTAGTACTAGCTGTACCCTGCCACGCTTTGCTGTGGCGTATTCCTGTTATATGGATGATAAATTATTAACGAAACAATGCATACGTTTCATATGTGTTTGGTTATGTAATAAATACTTGTGTGCACACAATATTTATTGTTTTTCCATTCGCTGCATAGATATCAAGGATATCTGATTTGCTTTTCCAAAGTTCGACTGGAGCATTATTGATTGTGATTCCGAATGTCAATCGAATTGGGAATTGCAATCTTTTAAATTGAAATGGTGTATCGGTCGGAATTATGGGAATTCTTCACCTTTGAAAGACCACGTTAAAATCTTTACTTACACTACTTTCTTCATCAATTTCTTTAATGCGAGTCGCCTGCCGTTGCAAAGTTTTGGCCGATTAATATTCCGCAACATGATAATTGGCACACCTATTTTCAATTTCAGTATGTGGAGTCTACCAGGAAGATCAATCGAGTTCAAAAATTCCGTTGGATGGTCTTTTTCCACAACGGTGTTTATCGACGTATGTGCTATTTCCTCACGTTGAATGCTGGATTGAATAATATTAGTGGTATTCACCAACGTGAGCAAGTGGCCTGGCAGCCTGGTAAAATGGCAGATCAGCTCAGGCAACGACTGTTTTCAATACCACTATTATTTAGTTGATAGACATCCTTATTCTTCGCAGCAAGAATAGCCCGTTCACTGAGCCAATCGAGATTCCTATAATTAATTTTCTTAATAAAGAAACATTCTTTCGATCAGTTCTGCTTCCGATGTTTCTAAGTTACAAAAATTATCAGGCCATAAAATTTGTCTTAATCTCTCATTGACTGGCAGCTTTGCGTTCCCAATGTCCAGTTATTGTCGCGCGAATACTTCAGCTGCAGTGTATGTATGTTCATCTTGTCGCAATGTTGACTACTTCAGGCAAGCATTTATCACGTCCGCTAGTGTTAATCGGGGAACTACGACAATGTTTGCGTAAAATCTCCTGCGAGAAATATCAATGCATTCCCGAATGGTTGAACGTTTCCACGAAAATCTCACAACAATCGATCAACGACCTTATGCGATTTTTTATGTGCACCGGTTGCCCTGGAAATATTGCATGTGGGAGTTTCGATGATTTATATGTTCAATGGCAGCTCAAGAGCTCAATTGGCGATGCTCCCACCTGGTAACAATGTCGCAGCAATTCCAGACGAAGTGATAGCTAAGGTAATGCAATTTTTTGATCGAACCGTTGCCAGAATCCATCTGATAAGTAACACCTGGCGCATCCTCCTCCAACTCCGCCACTTATCATTTGCATATTCTTCTTCTACTTTGGCTTTGTAACCGCCTAAGCCATTTTGGCCGAGCTCGACAAAGAACGCCAGACAATTTCTGTCTGTGCCAACTTGGTCTCTCCATTGCAGTGGGGGCTCCCTATTCCTCTGCTACCACCAGCGGATTGCGAGTTGAATTCTTTCACACCTGGAACTTCGGTTCCTATTGGAACGACTTGTCTAAGCAAGCGGAGCCGCTGCATTTTCATTCCCTGCACTATGTATATTTCGGTTTAAGTCTCATACAACTCATCGTTCCATCGTATACGGTAATCCCTGTCGCCCACGCGTAGAAGCCTGTAAATCTTTCGTAAGATCTTTTTGTCGAATACTCTAAGAGACGTCTCATCGAATGTTGTCATTGTCTAAGCTTCTGCGCCATATAACAGCTCGGGCATGATGAGTGACTTATAGAGTGCGGTTTTTTTATACGTCGAGAGAGGACTTTACTCCCGAATTGCCTACTCAGTCCAAAGTAGCACTTGTTTGCAAGAGTGATTCTGTGGGGGTTTTCCATGCTGATATTTTTATCTGTGATAATGCTGGTTCCCTAGTACACAAAATTCTCCACTTTCCCGATCTTATAATTTCAATATTTTCAGTTTTACTTTTAGATAGGTGATAATCCTATTAAAAATATTTCCAAATCAAGATTTTTCAAATACCTTTCGTTTGGCACCCATATTATACCTCAAACATATTTTCTGCTGTAAGCCTTCTTAAATATCTTTGTATATATAGATATAGATTTCTAAATAAAGATTTCTCAAATGCCTTTAGTTTGTTACCGATATTGTAACATTTCATTTATTTTACTAATTTAATTGAGTTGAATTTTCAAACAGGTGGCAAACCCCCTCAAACATATTTTCTACTGTAGATATTTTATAAGCTCTTTAGTTTTATACCTTAACTGAGTTCAAATTTCAAAATAGGTGGCAACACTCCTCAAAAATATTTCCAACAGTTATCTTTCTTAAACTTCTTTAATTTGATACCCATATTGTACTATTTCATTTATTTTATCAATGTAATTTAGTTTAGTTTTCAAACAGCTGGCAACCCTCCTCAAAAATATTTTTGACTGTAAGCCTTCTTAAAACTCTTTAGTTTGATACCCACTGTTGTTAACACCGCCACAGTTTAAATGAATCACCAAGTGTGAACTCACCCTTGGTTTTATGCACGAATATGTCATCCGACAACTCTACCATTTTAATGTTTAAAAATTGCCACTAGGCAACCCTTATTCCTTTTACTTCAATATTATATTGCATTCTTACGTATTGGATTCGATTTGAAAGGTCGAAGAAAAGCGTGCGATTGAGAAAACCAAATGTGAGTACTTGAATACGATTTTATGATTTGTAAGTTGTATTAATTATTACTTTTCAATAAAGTTTTAAAAGCATTCGTTGAACTATCCAGAGGAGAGTGTTTGTTATTCCGACGGATTCGACTGCTGTTTGAGTTGGTTGGACCAATATTCTTTTAAAAATTTGACGCACGATTCGCTATCGGCTGGTGCACGAGCTATTCCGAAGATCGAAGAAATAGCTTTCGTCTGAAAGAACAACAATTTCAGCATGGTAGGCACAAGAAAGGGCGTTGAATACAGCAATCAAGCTCCTGTGGACTGCGCTGTATGCAAACTGCCGGAAAGCGAGCAAATGGTTCAGTGTGATGCATGCGACAGTTGGACGCATTTTGGATGCGCAGGAGTAACGGAGGATGTGGCCGAAAGGGCATGGAAATGCAAAGGGTGTGCCCCACCATCAAGCTCGAGCTCATTGAAAACGTTGCGAACGGCATCGAATCAGAGTCGGCAACCAAGCGTGCACGAACACACTGAAAAGTTAGGTGAAAAGGGTGAAAGCGAAATCGAAGCGAAATATGAAAATAGAATTAATGCGTTTGGAAGAACAAAAGGAGACTGAACTGAAATATTTAAGACAGAAATATGAAATTATGCGCAAATATGAAAGCTCTGACGAGTCAGATGATGAAAATTTGGAGGCATTGAAGGTGCATCGCACACTGCAATGGGCAAATGGCAATGGTCAGGGCGGTATGGGTGGGCCTAAGGAGAGGCAGCTCGAAACAGGTGTTGGGCATGAGGGGAAAGAATTGGGCAGCATGTCGACGCGCACTAAATCTGCTCGCCTGGTAGGTACCTCACCGCACAAATCAACACCCCAACTGAAACCGTGCAAAGCCGAAAGCCCGCCATCGCCTGCATGGCTTTCACGTTTGGAAAACAAAATCGAGAGTATAGTGGAACAGATAACCACTCGTATGAAGGAGGTGGAGGAGCGGGTAATGCAGAGGATAGGTGAGATAACTGCTGATCTGGCCAATGTGAAGCTGAGTATGAGCAGTTTCGAGGTCAGAATAGATAAGGCTGAGCATGATTGTGCACAAATATGCTTTTGCGTAATGATATGCAGCGATTAAAGGAGGAACTCGCTGAACAAGAGAATGGTAGCGTTGCAGCGGACGTCATTCTAAATGGGATTCCGCGTGAAAAAGATGAAAACACTGTCGAAATCGTAAAGAAAGTCTGCAAAGCACTAAATGTCGATGCTGTCTCTGTGCGAGCGGCCTTCCGTGTGCGCACTAATAACGCAAAAACTGCACCACTCATAGCTAAGCTCGCTTCTTCTAATGACCGCGCTTTGTTATTAAAAGCTGCGGTCAGCTTTTACAAAACTAACAAAAGAGGTCTGCAACTTCGTGACATTGGTAGTGTATCAGAGGAGCGAGTATTTTTAAACGAGTGTCTCACCAAATCTGCTCGTGAGACTATGCAGTTCGCCACGCAGTTAAAAAGGCAGAAGCGCTTAACATCTGCCTTCTCAATGAGGGGAAAAGTATTTGTTCGAGTGCGGACTAGGGAAACTGCAGTTAAGGTGTTTTGCAAAGAAGATATCGAGAAACTAATTCAACTCAACAAGTGACTATTGTATGTTCATTCTATTTTATTGCGTTAGTTCTCTCTTCTTTTCAGTTTATATATTTTACATTTATATTAATATTAAGCAACTATATACTCTTAAAGTGCTTGAGCAATGTCTTCTTTACTTTCAACCCAGCTTGTCTCTTCCCACTCAATAAACACCTTCTCTCTATTATTGCTATTTTTTCCACCCTTTATACATTGACAGCAGTTTCGATGTTAAATATTAAAGCTAACAATCGCGGCAGTTCCAAAGACTGTACTCATAATATGATACGTGTACTGAGTAAACAAAAAGGCGGACTTAAGGTGTGCCACATTAATGCTCAAAGTCTCCCAGCAAAAATTGATGAATTTAGGTATATTTTTGAAAGTTCGAATGTAGATGTTGTGTGTGTGTCGGAGACTTGGTTCTCTGCGTGTCAAAGTGATGCTTTGTTTAATGTAGAGGGGTATAAACTTTATCGCTCAGATAGGCTTGGGCATGGTGGTGGTGTTGCCATATATGTAAAAACGTGTATCTCATGTAAACTTAAATGTGTATCAGTAGCTTCCGATTCTATTGAATATATTTTCGTTGAAGTAGCATCTAGACTAAATAAAATGCTCATTGGTTGTTTTTACAGACCCAATAGACATATAAATTATTTTCAATTTGTCGAGTTTATCGAAAATATTATACTTGGCTACAATGATATTGTTTTGACTGGTGATTTCAACAGCGACCTGCGGACCGACAGTAAATTTTCACTTGCTATGGAATCTCGGCCTTCTGCCTGTCAACTATACGACACCTACACACTTCACTCGGACCAGTTGTACGCTTCTCGATGTATTTTTTGTAGATTCAAGGACAAAAGTACTTCTGTATGACCAACTATCTGTGCCCAACTTTTCCAAGCACGATCTAATATTTCTAAATTATGACTTCCATTTCACTTGTAATTCGCTCGCCTACACATATCGTGACTTTATACATATTGATTAGAGAAAGCCGTTGACGCAATAAATTGGGGGTCAATTTATGCCATGATATCAGCAAATGAACAAATACAATTTCTCCAGTCTAAAATTAGTATACTTTTTGAACAATTTGTGCCCCTTGTAACGAAACCAAACTATGTCAAGAGCCGTCCATGGTTCAACCACCATATAAAAGACCTAATTGTGAAGCGAAATAAGGCATACTTAAAATGGAAGCAGTGCAAGTTGGACGAGACCTACAGGGAATACAAAAAGCGGAGAAGGGAAGTTACAAAAGCCATTAAAATGCGAAAATATGCGTATTATGAACGGCAATTTAGCACAGCCATAGGATCAAACCAAACATGGAAACGTATTCGCGAAATTGGGATTGGTAACAAAAAGAATTTTACCCACGAACCCTTAGATGTAAATGAGTTGAATGGAAAATTTGTTGAGTTGTCTGCTTGTAATAGAAATATATGTCATGATCGTTACAGTGATAAAATTAATGTTGTTACGCCTGGTTTCTGTTTTAAGTGTGTCGATAATTGTGATGTTGTTCAGGCGATACTTGGCATCAAATCGAATGCCACTGGTTTTGACGGTGTTAACCCGAAATTTTTGAAATGTTTACTGCCTAAAATTCTGTCGTATCTTACTTACGCTTTCAACACCGTTTTGACCCCGTCGGTCTTTCCTGACTGTTGGAAAAAGGCCAAAGTCATTCCTATAAAGAAATCTTATGGCGACTATAGGCCAATTGCCCTCCTTGATTCTACCTTTCTTATCAAAGGTCCTAGAACGTATCATGCATACTCAGATTAATTATTTCATTAATGGTAATTCACTGGTGAGTCAATACCAATCTGGTTTTCGGAAAAACAGAAGCTGTGTCACAGCACTACTAAAAGTCGCAGATGATATTAGAGTTAATATCGACAATAAACACGTAACTTTTCTGACCCTCCTTGATCACTCCAAGGCTTTTGATTCCGTGGATCATGCCCTTTTATGTTTAAAACTTGACAATTTGTTTAATTTTTCACCATCGGCATCAAGGTTAGTCAAAACATACCTTCTTGGCCGTTCGCAAGCAGTAATTGTAAAAGAATCCATATCGAGAACCCTGCCTATCACTAAAGGCGTTCCACAAGGATCAATTCTGGGTCCACTATTATTTGTGTTATATGTAAATGACCTTCAAAATGTGATAAAATATTGCAATATTCATCTATATGCAGATGACGTACAGTTGTATCTAGGTTGTCCTTTGGACTCCATCAATGCATGCATAGAAAACTTAAACACTGATCTAGATGCAATTAATATGTGGGCCTGTGACAATGGCCTGGTCCTAAATCCCAATAAGTCTCAATGCATTTCTATATATAAAAAAAAACTCAACCTTGATCATTGCAATAATGTAAAAATGAACAATTGTGTGATAAAATTTGTGGAAACTGCTAAGAATTTGGGTTTAATTTTTAATAGAACGCTGACATGGAAGAACCACATTTTTAATGCAATCGGTAAAGTTTGTGGCATGTTGCGATCCTTATGGAGTATTCAGTACTTCACACCAGTGAAGATTCGACTGATCCTAGCTAAACCTTACCTACTACCGACACTACTATACGGCTGTGAATTGTATGCTAGTTGTGACAGTGTATGCAATAGAAAACTTAATATCCTGTACAACAACATTGCTCGGTATATTTACTGCATTGGTCGTTAAGAACATATTTCTACTTTTTCCTTAAGGATATTTCTATTCCGTTCGACGATCTACTGAAACTCAGATGCTTGACATTACTACACAAAATCATAGTCACACAGGATCCCGATTATTTGAAGGAACGATTACAATTCACCAAATCTTCCCGATCTCTTGCTATATGCAATACTAGATTTACGTGCTTAGTATCTGAACGTCAGTTTTTTATTTTCTCGATCCGTCTTTGGAATACCCTGCCCGCAGCGATTAGATTTTTAAAAAACACGAATCATTTTAAGAACGAACTAATGCGTCATTTTGCCAAATGAATTCTAAGCGTTTTGAAATCTCTTCATGTCTCCTTCCTCTCCATCTTTCTTCTCTTTTCATTTCATATAACTTTTACCTCTACTTTTTATTTTTATTATTTTATTTTGTTTTAATTTTTATTTTATATAGATGTGTAATTACATGTAACTTTAGGTTGTAAGATATCATACACTGTAAATATAACTATTGGTTGTCGTGTGTGATTAAATAAATAAATAAATAAAATAAATAAATAGATCTGTTATGCGAAGCAAATTCAGGCACGCACAACGTCGGAGGCCAACGCTATAGGCTTGACTGCACAGCAAATAAGCTCGCGGCATGTGGTACCAAAAGATCTTCCCACCTTTAGCGGCAGGCCAGAGGAATGGGCCCTGTTTATAAGTAGTTTTGAGAATTCAACACGGTTGTGTGGGTTTAGCCACGATGAGAACTTGCTTCGTCTGCAACGCGCCCTAAAGGGAAGGGCGCTTGAGTACGTTAGCAGTAAGTTGATGATTCCGGCTCTGGTGCCGGAGATAATATCGACGCTGCGAATGGTGTGTGGTAGACCAGAGCAAATAATAAAAAACAAACAAACTTGAGACACTCATAACTTTCGCGCTTGAGGTTAAGAATTTGGCTGCTGCAATGGAAGCTTCTGGGCTTCAATCGCATATGACAAATCCATTGCTAATACAAGAGCTGGTTGAAAAGCTACCAGCGCAAATGCGCCTACAATGGGCAATGTTTTCCAGACCAGCGGGGGATACAACAATTAAAGGCTTTAGCGAATGGCTCTTTGACTTGGCAGACGCTTGTAAGGTGACGTCAATCATTTCCACTGCCAGTCCTGAGTCGGAGAGGCGTAAAACTCATCGAGTGAGCTTCCATACAGAGGAGGTGGAACATAGCGATGGATATGTCCAGCAAGTAAGGCCTAAACTGGCATGCTATTTTTGCAACGAATCACATGTTATATTGAAGTGCGATAAATTCAGAGAATTAGGCTATGACGAAAAGTGGAACGAAGTCCATAAACTGAAGCTATGCAGAATATGTCTAAAAAAGCACGATGCAAGAAGCTGTCGTGATAGTAAGGTATGCGGCGTTGATAATTGCGCCTATCGGCACAACCCGGTGCTTCACAAGCCTATGACAGGAGAAAATGTCGACGGTTCTACTACAGTTGGGGCGCATCAGGTGGAAAGTTCTAACACACTTTATCGAGTTGTCCCGATTACAATCTACGGGAATGGCATTTCCTGCGATGTATTTGCGTTTTTAGATGACGGGTCCGGCCCGACTCTAATAGAGAAGAATGTGTTGCAGCAGCTGAAAGTGCAAGGAGATAAAACAGACCTCTGTCTCCGATGGACAGACGGAACGGTACGCGTCGAGAAGAACTCGGACATGATTGACTTGGAGATTTCAACGCGTGGAAAGGGCAAGAAGCATATGTTACGTAATGTGCGGTCTGTAGAAGCAATTGATCTTCCCGCACAAACGATGAACATAGCAGAGCTCGCAGAAGAGTACAGGCATCTAAGAGGAATCCCAGTCGAGTCATACTATAACGTGGTACCGCAAGTAATCATTGGATTAAGCAATAAAAATCTGATGATGCCTCTAAAGTTTCGAGAGGGCAAGGCACACGAGCCGGCTGCCACCAAAACACGTATTGGGTGGACTGTGTATGGTGTAATGAATTCTGACGCACAAAAAATTACGATAACCTGCAACTTCATATTTGTGAGTGCGACGACGATGTGGCTCTGCAAAAGTAAGTCACAGATTACTTGTCTTTGGATAACCAGTACGATGACAGCAAACACAATAAGTTTTGCGATAGGCAACAAGAAGGTATGCACGAGAGTGTTTCACGCGATGGAAAGCATTTCGTGACGAAACTGTTATGGAAATCGGAGAGCATCAATATGCCGGACAACTATGTGATGGCTTTGCGGAGGCTCAGATGTTTTGAGAGAAAGCTGAATGGGTCCCCTGAGCTGAAATCATTTGTCAGCGAACATATCTGTTCAATGCAAGAAAAGGGGTACATTCGTAAACTAAACGCCAACGAGGTTGTTGCTCCCCACCCACGAAAATGGTATTTGCCGATGTTTGTAGTGCAAAATCCAAACAAACCACGGAAGGTTAGAGTCGTTTGGGATGCTGCTGCAGAATATAAGGGCGTTTCCTTGAATTCCCTCTTGAATAAAGGCCCAGATTTATTGACTTCCCTCTTCGATGTTTTGCTGAACTTCCGGAGCGGAAAAATTGGAATATCCGGCGACATCAGTGAAATGTTTCACAGAATCTTCGTTGATGAGGAGGACCAGCAATCGCAACGGTTCTTGTGGAGAAACTGCGATGAGACTCGCCCGCCAGATGTATATCTACTACGAGTAATGAGCTTCGGAGCAAGTTGCTCGCCTTCTTTGGCCCAATTTGTGAAGAATCAGAACGCCAAAGAATTTGCTGATACGTACCCGCGACCAGCGAAAAGTATTTTGGAGAGGCACTATGTCGATGATATGCTCGACAGCGTGAACACCGTGCAAGAAGCTATTGAGCTGGCTAGAGGTGTTCGGGACATCCACAAACAGGCGAACTTTCACATTCGAGGGTGGCTATCCAACTCTAAAGAGGTGACTGAAGCCCTAGGAGAGGCAGGAGATGCGGATGAGTTTTGCAGTTCTGCTAAGCGGGTGGATCAGGTCGTAGAAGCCAGCAAGGTGCTGGGTATGTGGTGGCAGACGACTGATGACACGTTTACATACAACTTGAAATTCACGAAGGCCAATGATGAAATTCTACGAGGAGCCAGGCTGCCAACCAAAAGGGAGCTGTTACGGCTACTAATGTCGATCTTCGATCCTTTGGGTTTGCTAACATTCTTTTTGATCGACACGAAGATTCTACTACAGAAAGTATGGCGAAGCGGCGTTGGATGGGACGACATTATTCCAGAGGAATTTTCCGCGGAGTGGATGAGGTGGCTATCGTTCCTTCCGCAAGTACAAAGTATTAAGATACCTAGATGTTACTTCAGTATGATGTGCAGCGAGGAGGCCAAGTGCGAGCTGCACTTATTTGTGGACGCTGGCGAAAACGCTTACGCAGCGGTAGCGTACCTAAGAACAAAGAATGGAAGTCACATTGGAGTGTCGTTGGTGTGCGCCAAATCGAAGGTAGCACCTTTGCGCCCTGTATCTATTTCACGGATGGAGCTGCTCGCTGCAGTAATGGGGGCACGTCTTGGAAACTCGGTGGTAAAGGCGCTTGACTTTAAAATCGGTCGTGTCTGCTATTGGACAGATTCCGGAACGGTGCTTTCTTGGTTACGTTCTGACCCTACAAGATACAAGCAGTTTGTTATGTTTCGCGTGGGAGAAATTCAGGAGACGACGGATATTGCGGAATGGAAATACGTTCCCTCGAAGTTAAACGTCGCGGACCTCGGCACAAAGCAGATTTCTACGCCCGATTTCTCAACGAGTGGTCAGTGGATTTCAGGCCCCACGTTCCTGCGTCAACAGGAAGAAAATTGGCCAAACTTACAATGCAAACCAGAAGGGAACAAGCAACGAGAAGAACGACCACAATTAGTCGCAGTCAATATACAAAACGAACCACCGCTGATTGATTTAACGCGATTTTCTAAGTGGGAGCGCCTATTTGGATGCACGGCATATGTGAAGCGATTCGTAAGCAGATTGCGAGGTATACCTTCCGAAGGCGCCTTTACTATCGAAGAGCTCGCCTGGAGCGAGGCCTTTTTATATCGCCTTGCCCAAGCCCAGGACTTTCCAAATGAAATTAAGATGTTAAGCCAAAACCCAGTGTGTGCTATGCCGAAAACAAGCCCTTTGCGAAAGTTATCGCCATTTATAGATGAGACAATGACGCTAAGAATGCGCGGTCGCCTGGAAAACGCCAACTGCATAGATAACGCCATGAAAAATCCAATTATATTGCCAAGATACGGCTACATTACCAGATTAATAATTGATTGGTACCACAGAAGGTGGAAACACTCAAACCACGAAACGGTAATTAATGAAATATTTCAACAATTTTACGTACCTGGATTACGTACGTTGCTACGATCTGTGCGAAAGTGCTGCCAGTTTTGCAAGAATGCCACGGCGCACCCGCAGCCACCCGAGATGGCTGATTTGCCTGAAGCACGTTTATCACCCTACACACGACCCTTCACTTATGTTGGAGTGGACTTTTTCGGGCCATTTTTGACTACAGTTGGAAGACGGATCGAAAAGCGTTACGGCGTGGTGTTTACCTGCATGACATGCCGTGCGGTGCATGTCGAAATGGCATACAGTCTTACAACCAGCTCGTGCTGTATTGTTGTGCGTAACTTCATTGCCCGAAGGGGAACACCAAGAAAATTCTTTAGCGACAATGGGACGAACCTGAGAGCGACCGAGAAAGAGCTGCGTGAATCGTTATCGCAAGTAAATTTTGCTGACTTGGAAGCCGAGTTCACCAGCCCTAGCACTGGATGGACTTTCATACCACCCGCCTCCCCGCATATGGGAGGAGCATGGGAGCGCTTAGTGCGCTCAATAAAAGCTGTACTGTATCAAATAATTACGCCTGAAACGAAACTGACCGATGAAAAGCTGCACAACTTGTTTCTCGAAGTGGAACAAATAGTGAATAGTCGGCCTTTGACGTATCTATCTCTCGACACTGCCGAACAGGAGGCTCTTACTCCCAACCATTTCCTGCTTTGTTCGTCCACGGGACTCAAGCCCGTCGGAAGATTCGAAGCCACAGACCAATACGTACGTACATCATGGCGGCACACCCAGTATCTCGCTGACAGTTTCTGGAAGAGGTGGGTTACAGAGGTGCTGCCAACGTTGACCCGAAGAACCAATTGGTATCAGAAGGCTAAGCCCATTGAGGTGGGTGACGTAGTCATAGTTGTTGACCCAAACTCACCGCGCTATTCTTGGCCAAAGGGAGTTATTTTATCTACGTTGCCAGGGAGAGACGGCCAGGTAAGAAGTGTTATCGTGAGAACTGCACAAGGACAATATCATCGACCAGCGACGAAATTAGCAGTACTAGATGTACGGAGTGACGGTGTTTAAGTGGGGTACTCCCACATTGAGGGAGATACCGGGGGGAGAATGTTGTTAACACCGCCACAGTTTAAATGAATCACCAAGTGTGAACTCACCCTTGGTTTTATGCACGAATATGTCATCCGGCAACTCTACCATTTTAATGTTTAAAAATTGCCACTAGGCAACCCTTTTTCCTTTTACTTCAATATTATATTGCATTCTTACGTATTGGATTCGATTTGAAAGGTCGAAGAAAAGCGTGCGATTGAGAAAACCAAATGTGAGTACTTGAATACGATTTTATGATATGTAAGTTGTATTAATTATTACTTTTCAATAAAGTTTTAAAAGCATTCGTTGAACTATCCAGAGGAGAGTGTTTGTTATTCCGACGGATTCGACTGCTGTTTGAGTTGGTTGGACCAATACCCACCTAGCAATATTTCATTTTCTTTATCAATTTAACTGAGCCAAAATTTTAAAATAGGTGGCAACCCTCCTCAAAAATATTTCCAACAGTTATCTTTCTTAAACCTCTTTAATTTGATACCCATATAGTAATAATTAACTTATATTAATTTAATTAATACAATTGGGTTTAAAAAATTTCAAATAGGTGGCAACCCTCCAGTTTTTTGCGACACCATTGGTTCTGGTATTATACCAAACAATATAAAATAAAAATGTTTCAAATCGGTTCAGCCGTTCTCGAGTTTTGACGACCGTGACATACGAACACAACATTTTTATATATATAGATTTCGTTGATAATATGATCACGTCGTTTGATAATAACTATGTTCTTAATTCTTTCTTCATTTAAATTGTTTGGCCTTTGGATAGGTGAAAACACTACAAAAAATTTCTAGTAAACCTTTCCCAAACACATTTAGTTTGGTATCAATTATGTAATATTTCGTAAAAATTCAATATTTTTAGTCTTTACTTTTAGATAGGTTATAATCCTATTTAAAATACTTCCAAATCAAAATTTCTCAAGTACCTTTCGTTTGGTACCAATATTGTAATTTTTAATTTATTTTATCGGTTTAAATGAGTTACATTTTCAAAAAGGTGGCAACCCTCTTCAAAAACATTTTCGACCGTAAGCCTTCGTAAAAATCTTTAGTTTGAAACGCACATTGCAATATTCCATTTATTTTATTTTAAAATTTTAAAATATGTGGCAAACCTCCCCGAAAATATTTCCAACAATCATCTTTCTTAAATCCCTTTAATTTGATACCTATATTGTAATATGTCATTTATTGTATCAATTAAATTGAGTTAAATTTTCAAATAGGGGGCAACCCTCCTCAACCGTATTTTCAGCTGTACCCTTCTTAAAACTCTTTAGTTTGACACCCACGTGGCAATATTTCATTTACTTTATCAATTTAACTAAGTTACAATTTTTAAATAGGTGGCAACCCCCTCAAAAATATTTCTAACAGTTATGTTTCTTAAACCTCTTTAATTTGATACCCATATTGTAATATTTCATTTATTTTATCAATGTAATTTAGTTAAATTTTCAAACAGGTGACCACCCTCCTCAAACATATTTTCGGCTGCAAGCCTTCATAAAATTCGTTAGTTTGACACCCACATGGCATTATTTCATTTATTTTTTCAATTTGACTGATTTAAAATTTTCAAGTTGGTGGCAACCCTCGTCAAAAATATTTCTAACAGTTATCATTCTTAAACCTCTTTAATTTTATACCCATATTGTAGTATTTCACTTATTTTCTCAATGTAATTTAGTAAAATTTTCAAACAGGTGGCAACCCTCCTAAAACATATTTTCAGCTGTAAGCCTTCTTAAAACTCTTTAGTTTGACACCCACATGGCGATATTTCATTTATTTTATAAATTTGACTGAGTTAAAATTTTCAAATAGGTGGCAACCCTCCTCAAAAATACTTCTAACCGTCATCTTTCTTAAACCTATTTAGTTTGATACCTATATTGTAATAGGTAATTTATCTTATCTTTAAATTGAGTTACATTTTCAACCAGGTGGCAACCCTCCTCAAACATATTTTCGGCTGTAAGCCTTCTTAAAAGTCCTTAGGGTGACACCCACATTGCAATATTTCTTTTATTAATTTAACTGAGTTAAAATTTTCAAATAGGTGGCAACCCTCGACAAAGATATTTCCATCTTTCTTAAACCTCTTTAACCTAATACCCATATTGTAATAACTCGTTAATCTTATCAATATATTTGGGTTTAAAAAATTTCAAATAGGTGGCAACCCTCCAATTTTTTGCGATATCATTGGTTCTGGTATTATACTGAACAATACAAAGAGAAAATTATTCAAATCGGTTCAGCCGTTCTCGAGTTTTGACGACCGTGACATACGAACACAATATTTTTATTAATATAGATAGACTAGCCAATATCCGCTTGTTTTGCGGCTTAAAACACTACTACCGATGAAAATCGATGGATAAATAAACAAGTTTGCAAGGGTTAAGTGAAAGTGCAATAATTTTTTGTATGAAATACTAGCAGGAAATAATGTTACCCATACGCCGCGTACATGACCGTATGATCATGTTAAAGTTTGAATTTTTTTCATTCGCAGTGAAAACTTAAAATGAAAATAACTTGACTAAATGACCTTATCTAAAAAAAAAACGGTATACAGATCCGTAACATACTACTTAAAATTAATTTTACGTCTCTCGGCGTTTTTTGTGTAATTTTAGCGTCGTTACAGCGTTATCATCAAAATTTAGCCACAGCAATGAAATTTGTTTATAAAACTCTTAGGAGGTAGGATCTCCAGTCCCACAGGGTTCGTAATTCAAGCGGACTCTATCCTCATTTGTAACGCAGGATACCAGTAAGAGTACTTCAAAGGCCCCAGAAGGGACGCTATTTTGGGTAGAATTAAGGGTACCATAATATACACAATTAACTCAGTGCATTTCTATAGATATGCAGGGATTAGTCCAAGAGAACAGCAGTGCCCAAGGCAGCAACATTTATGGGTCTCATCTGTCGCGAAGCGCGTTCGCGGTAGGATCTGGAAAATTTAACCGTTACGCTATAAACTGAACAGCTACAGTTTAAGCTATTCAGTTTTCTTAAAGTCCAATTAGTAATACTACTTGGGTATAAGTTGTTTATTCAAGGCAGTTAGCAACCAAGAAATTTAACAAAGCTATTGCAATTCAACAGTGAACAATTTTTTTTTTATAAACTTTTCGATTACTTTTTAAAGTACTTTGAGGAATGGAATTGGAAAAAAATCAATTACATTTTCAATTCCTTTCAAAGGTATTGGAAAAAAATTACATTTTCAATTCCTTTCAAGGGATTTGAAATAAAAGAAATTACATTACAAGCACGTAATTTATTCCAATTACAATATGAAATTCCTTGTAATGGAATTAAAGAAAAAAACAATTCCATTTGAAATTACTTCAAAGAATTGAAAAAGTAATCGATTCCTTTGCTCTGAACTAAAGGAATTGAATCCTGATTACAATTACTGAGGAATGTAATTGTAATTGTAATGTAATTGCATTTACCCAGCTCTGCTTAAGATAAGCATCTACCATAGATATGTTTGCATACCAATTTTCAAGTTCATGTGACTTGCGGTTCCGAAGTTAGAGCTGATGAAATAATTCACGCCTATGGGAGGTGCCACGCCCCCTTTTCCAATGTCGCCCATATTTTTCCATGAGTACGGAATTAGTTTTATTTATCTCAAAAGGAAGTTCCAATGCTCAAGCACAAATATTTGAAGAGATATACAACATGAAAATTTTAGTTAGTATACTAGGTGCCACGCCCTCTTTTCCAGCACTGCCCATTTTTCTCTATGCTTATAACCTTCCCGGAGTAAAAGCAAATAATTGTGCAAAGTTTCGTGCGACTGCGTGCCGCGGTTCAGAAGTTATAAGGTAATAAACCAACAGACATTCACATTTATATATATACACCCCTATTCTGCAACTCTTTCGTATTCGGATTTTGCTATGAATCGTAGAAATAGTATGCTGCAATCCGAATCGTATTTGCGAACTTTCGAAATTCGTAACAATGGCATGCCTAAAAACGAACGAGTAAACTTTTTTGCGTAATTTTGTACGAAAACAATTGTATGTCGCAGGCGAAATAAAAGACGTAAATCGATGTGTGTTTGCAAGAAATATTGGTGGTGTTCATTTAAATAGATAAATTTGCCTTTCGCAAATACATATATTTTTGTTGTTGTGTCCAAACGCATAACCCGAATCCGAAAACTTTAACATACGCGTGTAATCAAAGGATTCAAATTTTATTTAAGATAAATGTTTCAAATTTCCTACCACTAGCTTATTAATAAACTCGGTTTGCACTACGCACTTTTTTGCAAATTTCGACGTGGGTTCTGCGCAAAAGTACTGCAAAAATCGTGGGACCATGTAGTCTATTTGTGGTAAATCAGAGTACTTACAAAAGTGTTCCTCTGTCATGCTGTAGCGGACCAACTCGTGTCTCTGCGCCAGCTTATTGTTTGTTATCCGATCACTGCTCGTGTTTTAACGAAATGTGATTGAAGTTGAGCATTTGAAAGCACATTTGCATGTCTGGCTGTAGCTGAACGTGTAGAGATGCTCGCTTTTAGTTCTTAGCTCCCAGCATGTTCGGGTTCGACTGCCGTCAGAGGCAACATGTAATTTTTAATTTTTGTCTTGGTTTTTATTAATTTCGAAAAAGCATTTGAGAAGTGAAGAACAAAAACGTGTACAAACGAAAAAATATAACAACAATGCCATTGTTAATATGTTGGAGTAGTTTTGTGCTACTCTGATGTAATGCAGGGATGGAGTATATGGTCCTGCCCTAGGACATCGCAATGTTAATTGGACCATATTTTTTATATGAATTGTGGTTAATTTTGGAGTACTCCTTGGTTCTTAGGGAGTACTCTATACACGCATGCATGGAGTAGTCGCGAGTTTTGCAGGGATACCTTTGACATGCGGAAGCCCCTCTTCCTCGCAACACAGAAAGGAGAATTCTACTTAGTAAGGGTTATAATTCCTAAGCGCGGCCGAAGGCAGAAGCAAGCGCAACAGGTGGTGGACCTAACAAAGTGCATGTTTTAAATGGCTTGGAAGAAGCTGTTATTGCATTAACTGGATTGAGAACTAGAGCTTCAGGCATAGGAGGAGTTCTGGCTTATGGTTCAACAATTCAACCAGAAGCTGACATAGGTTACTATGCCCGACAGCTCCGCATACCTTTGTGAATCCATTGCCTGCTGCTATAATTGCAAATACATCAGAATCCATAATTTTCCTCAAAATATGTAAAATTAACCAATTTTTTCAATAAACACGCACATGATGAGTGTTTTTTTAATTCCTTTCCACTTTGTTTTCCTTCATTCAGCTATCTTCGAAAAACCACTGATAGCTGGCAATGCTGCACATGTTTTCGCAAAGGTTGCAGCATGTGGATTTCAAAAATTCCGGTTCTAGAATAAGGGGGATAGATTATCTAAGGGTTTTAATGTACTCTAGGTAGTCGGAAAGGCCGACTTTCCGATCCACCTAGTATCGATATTTTAGAGGCTGGAAAGGCCTAGTTTCCAATCCACGCTATTGTTCATACATCATTATCTTATAGGCTGCATTCTACAATAGCCGCTTGAAAAGAGTGATAGTATCACAATATTTTAATAGCCTCTGGTAATTCATTAAAGCACTTTAAGTCTTTAAAAAAAATTTCTTTTTGTCCACTTCCGTTCCGTACTTCGGAAGCCTGAAGCTGTTATTCTCTCTCAACAAGTATGTATGGGTCTCATTTATATATCGGAGATTATCGCTAAGATAATCCGGCAGGATGCCCTTCTTAATACTATACACAAATTTCATAGTGTGGTAAAAAACTTGTTGCTTCACGCTTAACCAATTCAAGGTTTCCAGCATACATCTTGTTGGTGTGTCGTACGGTTTGTTAGTTATAGCGGTGAGTTTTGTCATTGCACGCGAATAGGGCTGTAATAGGGCTTTCGGTAAAAGTGCACTTTAGCGGAACCAGGCGTCCAACTCCTTTTTGCGTAGGCGGGCTTCGGCCGCACTTAGGGATTATAAGCCTCAGGTAGTAGAATTCTCCTTTCTGTGTTGCCAAAGAAGGGGGGCTGAACACCTTTTGCAGTGAATACCTCTCTGGGTAGGCAGCCTTCGGCAGCACTTAGGGATTATAACCCTCAGGCAGTAGAATTCTCCTTTCTGTGTTGCCAAAGAAGGGGGGCTGAACACCTTGTACAGAGAACAACTTTCATTTACTCCATTTATTTGCATCAAATTCATCAAAACATGGTGCGAAAAGTGCAAAGTGCAAGTGTTTTTTGCGAATAACTCTTAAATTAATTAAAAATCGTCTTAAATCGAACGAGTTGAACGAGCTCAAAGTTGGCTGGCGACCAACTTTGTTGAAAGCGATTAGTTGAAAGGCCGTTCGGACGAGGCGATTTTTGCTTTCAACTAAAAGTTGCCTGAAAAATCCCTCGTGCGAAAGCCCTATAAAGTGCATTACTACCGGGCTTTCGAACGAGACGATTTTTCAGGCATCTTTTGCGTTCAACTCGCGCAAGGCTGCACAAAAAAAAAATTGAATGGCTAAAAATATCCTAATATTTGCCATAAAAAGGCGTTTGCAATGGGTAGGTTCAGAATGCGCAGAAGTTGAGGCCAACCGTTGCTAAAAAAATAAGTGATCATAATGCGTCTTATGAACGGCCTGATACATTAGCTGTCAAATTCAAAACACACAACATGTTGTCTGAAATGATCAGAATAATATTACGATCATCTTACACGTAACTGTTCAGTTGATCAGAAGTACAAAGCAACGCGTTCAGAAGGTGCAATCGCAACAATTACTGAGCTGTTGCGCCTTCTGAACGTGCCCAATGTTCAACTTTGTATTCTAGTTTTGGTTGAACAGCCTTTCAACTAATCGCTTTTAACAAAGTTGGTCGCCAGCCAACATTTAACCATTCAACTTTTTTTTCGTGCAACCCTGCGTGAGTTGAACGCAAAAGCGCCTGGTGCGAACGGTCTTTAAGACGTAATTGTTGGGTCCAACACATGAACCAATTATTGGGCTTTCGCGCGAGCGATTTTCAGGCAACTTTTAGTTGAAAGCAAAAATCGCCTCGTTCGAACGGCCTTTCAACTAATCGCTTTCAACAAAGTTGGTCGCCAGCCAACTTTGAGCTCGTTCAACTTTTTTCCTTGCAACCCTGTGTTTGTTTACATTCTGTATACATACTTTTTTTCTTGTTTACTTTTTTACTTTTATTTTAACTTTCAGCTTCGCTAAAAGCACTTCTACCAACGCTTGGCTTAACAAATTTACGCCAATTGATACAATTTTGCGATTTAAATTCATTTTCAATAATGTAAATAACAATTCGTGTTGAATCGAAAATCGCCTCGTCTGAATAGGGAGGGCAACTTTTTAACTTTCAACTTTTCATTCAACTTCGCATTCAACTATTGTTGCCTGTAAAATCGCTTCGTGCGAATGTCCTATTAGAACAGATTGGACCGGTTGAGAAGCAGCCATTTGTAATAGCAATTGCTATTTCTGTTTTGCTTCTTTCTTTATCTGTATTTTGTCGGTTGTTGTTGTTGTAGCAGCATACAAGCTCCCCAAAGAGTTTTTGGGGACTGTTGCTGGAGTGAGAGTCCTTGGCCAAATATAAATCTGGGTCGTTCCGGTTACGTAGAGCCGACTGTCGTGGGAACGTGTATTTTGTCGGTGGTTTATTTCAGTGATTTTTAAGTGATTTTTAATAAATTTTATGTGCAAATGTAATTAAAATGAAGTGCGCGGTGATTGATTGCAAAAACACGTACAAATGTCATGAATTCCTTAGCACAAACATGTGCCACAAAATTGCTTGCATTTTTGTTCTTTATGCTTCGTCTCCATATTCTTTGCTTACTTTTCAAAGAACATAACATGGCGCCGAAATTACAAACGTCAGCCATAAAATTACTTTTTTCTTTTGTTTCATCTTGTCAGATCTTGTGTAGTTGGATCATGGGTCCAACAGTTGCCAGCAGTTTCGTAGCAGTTGAGCGAAACAGCTAGGTCTTATGAATGCGCCCAATGTTTCATGGCAGATACCAACAGGGTTGCAACTAAACAAAAATTTTTTTTGGTATTCGCTTCCTACAAAATGCGGCTGTAGAAACCGAATCATATAGTCCCCTTTCAGACACGTCAAGTCTTGCTTTCAAGTCTGCTCCTTCGTTGGCGAAGGAGGGGGGAAGAGTACAGATACCTCCGTACCGTCAATTCGTTTCAAGTTTCTTGTTCTCTTTTGATCTTTTCGTTGCTTCGCATTTCAAGACCCAAGGACTTGAATTCAATAAAACTTAACGCGTGTGGAAGCAAAGAGAAAACACAAAAGAGAATGCGATAAAAATTGCTTTCAAGACTTGACGTGTCTGAAAGAGGACTAATAGCAAATGAGAAAAAAGTGTGTGACGTTCGTAATTTTGAAGTTTGCTATTTCTGTTTTACTTCTTTCTTTATCTGTATTTTGTCGGTTGTTGTTGTTGTAGCAGCATACAAGCTCCCCAAGGAGTTTTTTAGGACACATTGGACCGGTTACGAAGCAGCCATTTGTAATAGCAATTGAGAAAAAAGTGTGTGACGTTCGTAATTTTGAAGTTTGCTATTTCAAAAACACGTACAAATGTCATGAATTCCTTAGCACAAACATGTGCCACAAAATTGCTTGCGTTTTTATTCTTTATGCTTCGTCTCCATATTCTTTGTTTACTTTTCAAAGAACATAACATGGCGCCGAAATTACAAACGTCAGACAGAGAATTTCTTTTTTCTTTTGTTTCATCTTGTCAGATCTTGTGTAGTTGGATCATGGGTCCAACAGTTGCCAGCAGTTTCGTAGCAGTTGAGCGAAACAGCTAGGTCTTATGAATGCGCCCAATGTTTCATGGCAGATACCAACAGGGTTGCAACTAAAAAAAAATATTTTTTTGGTATTCGGTTCCTACAAAATGCGGCTGTAGAAACCAAATCATATAGCAAGACTGTATAACACTTTTCCTCTTCACATAACTGATCTGGCAATACCCCTTGCGGGTAACTTCTACATCGTTTTATATTTCTGCAAGCGGTCTTTTTTTGCAGAAACGATGTTCTGAAAATAATTTTTGTGCAAATTTCCAAAAAAAAAGTAGGCTGAGGTGGAGTTCTGTAAGAGAATCCAATATATTAATTAGAGCATTGAATATCTGTGAAAATGGTAAGTATCTCTTCTAATCTATATGTCTTGGTTAATATTCTTATTTGCAATCGATTTTTACATTCGTTTCATTTTCAATGATGGCTGCGTACATATTTTTTAAACACTGCAGTCAAAGAAAATGTCACGATATCCCAGCGACAGGAAGGTATATGTGGGCGATTTAGGCAATAGCGCCAGAAAGAATGATTTAGAGTACGCTTTTGGTGCCTATGGAACTTTGCGAAGCGTTTGGATTGCACGTAATCCACCGGGATTTGCGTTTGTTGAATTCGAAAGTGCCCGGGATGCCGCTGATGCTGTACGCGGTTTAGATGGACGCACAGTTTGTGGCCGGCGCGCAAGGGTAGAACTGTCTACAGGAAAATTTGCCGGGGGAGGAAGTGGGCGTGGTGATCGACGTGGAATGCGGGATCGCCCACGCAGAAACAATTTGGATGATAACAAATGCTATGAATGTGGTGGAAGAGGACATTATGCTAGAGAATGTCGGCGTCGTGATAGTCGGCGGGGCAGCCGACGTCGGTAAGTACATTATATTTTACCCGATTATATCACAGACTTTAGAATAAAAGTAAAAATATCGAATCTTGGTATTATTTATGCATGTACGTCATACAAATTTTTTAAATGTTGAGACAAATTTTATGGGGACTTATAATTTTTATGTAAAACCGACTAATTCTCATATAAAAATTTATGATTATCGTTAATTTCTTCATGATCCAATGATTGGATTTAAACCAAATTAGTATTGGACCATCTATGGAGTAACACCTTTCATTTAAAAAATTATAGAAATGGGTTTACGTCAAAGTTATGCGGTAACATACATAAAAAAAACATCCGATGAATTAATAAATAACCTGCTTTTTGTGAAGTCGGTTAAAAAAATTGTAATTTAAATTTAATTTGAAGAGATAGAAGGTCTCGGTGATATGAATATAAGTGCAGCATATTTTGCTGATATGACGTAGGGTTGGTTGTCTATATACACGGGACTTAAATTTTAAGAAAGTGCTGTATCTTGGAACGAACGAAACTTAATGAAAAAAAAGTATTTCTTCCGTTGTTGTTGTTGTAGCAGCATACAAATTCCCAAAGACTTTTTGGGGAGTGTTGCTGGAGTGACAGTCCTTGGCCAGATATAAATCTGGGTCGTTCCGGTTACGTAGACCCGACTGTCGTGGGGTATTTCTTCCGTCTTATTATGGGCTTTAATTATACATTTTTTACATTAAAGGTGCAACGCATAAGAAAAAAAACAAAAAAAAAAAACAAAAATAAGTAAACATTTTTCTTCTTGATATTTTTTTTATTAAAGCTTTTAATTTTTTTTTTACATAAAAACATATGTCAACTTTAAGTACCCAAATGGGCGTAATGGGCTACTTAGGCGTATGAACTCTAAATCATCTAACGCTCGAGCAATATGATAATTAGCCTTTGATATTTATGAAATTGTATACTTTGAAAAAGGAAATCTGTAAAAAATAACTGCATCTAACTTTACAGTGGACTTTATTTCGACTATGACTACGTGCCAATTACTTTAATCATATATTAAGCTAGCTTAAGAGGTGAAATAACATCAAGTTGGGGAACTTCATATCCTTCTTTAACGAATCTTTAAATCAACAAATAATTTTTTTCTTTTCAGTTCTTATTGTAATAAAAGCGTGTTGTTGGTTTTTTAAACTATAATTTTATTACTCATTGGGTTTTTTTTATACACCTTTACTTTTTCTTGTTTTAATAAAAGCACTAACCTTGAGGCTATCAATGGTGGTCTAATATTCTTTTGCAATGAAACCGAAACATCAACATCAACAAAACCCATTGCAAAAGAATATTAGACCTCCAATGATAGCTTCAAGTTCCGTCCTTTTATTTAAAAAACAGACATATTTTGAAAATGAGATTTAAATACCTTTAAATTGATGTACAAAAGTATTTATATTGTCAGACACGTTGGAAGTTTTCATCGGGTAAAATTTTAGAACCCCCTTTTTTCTTAATTTTTTCAACTTCGACCATCGCTAATTTAAAAATATCTATGAAAGTTGTATGTAGTATTTCTCTAAAAGAAAATTTATTTTCAAACAAATTGATACCTTACTGAATGACATAGGATAAAAATCGTCGCAGTTAAGCAATATCAGTAGAAATACGGCCTTGAAAATACGTGTATATATACTGAACGCTTAGGTTTTTTGAGCAGTAGGGCTAAGGAACTCATAAAGATTTACTCAAAATTGATATATACGAAGAATTGGTTTTAGATAGAATTTAGGATAATGGGAGTGGCACTACCCACTTATAACATATATATTTTCGTTTAAAGTACAAAACCGCGTATAGTCATTCTGCAAAACCGCGTAACTGGTATTAGCTCCCAAAAATTGGATTTCCTCACACAAGTAGGGACACGATATCGAACCGAAAGTATCGATATGGTACTCATGGGGGGTTGCCACAGCCACATGCAACAAACTGCGAGCCAGGAACAAAGTCCTAAAATCGCTAGCCGGCAGCACCTGGTGAGCCAATAAAGAAACCCTGCTCGCGACCTACAAGGCAATCGGCCGGTCAGTGGCTAACTACGCGGCACCAGTGTGGACGACGGGGACAAGCGACACCCGATGGAGGAACCTCCAAGCCTGCCAGAATGCAGCTCTACGTACGGCTACAGGTTGTCATCTCATGTCGTCCGAGCATCAGCTACATGAAGAAAGCCTGATGCTGGCGGTGAAAGAGCACAACACCATGCTGTCTAAGCAATACCTCGTGGGCTGTCACCGAGGGAATCACCCCAACAATGCCTTGCTTCGTAACGAACCGCCCCCACGACACGTGAGACGACACCTGCATGACTGGAAAGCGGACATTGAGCCGTACGTAGACCATCCATTCGACGCAGCAACATACAGAGCGGCGCTCAACAGCCTACACAGCGATGCGGTCAGAACGAGCCTCAGTACGCGTAATGACAACATCGTCTTGGGCGGTCGACCGCCGCCCATAGATCCAGAAGAAATAGAGCTGCCGAGAGAGACCAGGTGCACCCTAGCACAACTCCGTTCTGGGTGGTGTCACCGACTCAACAGCTACCTCTCTCGGCTGAACACACAAGTGGCAAGCACATGCCCTGCATGTGGGCAAGGTCCCCACGACACCCAGCACCTCTTCACGTGCACCCCCAACCCTACGACCCTGACACCAGAAGCGCTCTGGACCGCGCCTATCGACGCAGCCCGCTTTCTCGGCCTCAGGCTCACAGAGTCGGAGGATGAAGACGACGACACATGACAAATCTGGGGGGTTGAGCACTGCTGCTACAACAACAACAACATATGGTACTCATTTAAAGTATCGCTTTAAAAATATCGGGTACCCATTAATATCGGAATAAAAAGACTCGATATTCCAAATATCGATACCAAAAAACAAAAAAATTATCTGAATATAGGTCTCACATATAGGCCGCTGGGTGGAAGTGGTTATAAGTGCGCAAACCTTGAAAATGAAAAACAGCTTCCCATAAAATACAATCGCCGTTCAGAGTCGACATAAAATTGTAGACACCCCCTTTGTGCCACAACATTAAGGTCCACGCGACAAATCGGAGGAGAACTTCGGCCAAACACTAACATATTGTTTAAGCGCCGGACTTTATTATTATTACGACACGTAGAGATTGAGGTGTTGACTTAAACACCGAGGCCGCGGGTTCAAATCCCACCACATGCAATCCTAACCATAGTACAAATTTCTGCATTTTAAAGCCCAATTTATATCGAGAAGAATTGTTACAGGCCAACCTTATACGCGTGCGTAAAAAGCTAACTCAAATTCCAAGATTTGTCTTGCGTGACATTTCGATGTGACATTTATGCTCAATTGGCATTTTGGCGCGACTATGAATTCAAAATTTTTGTCAGCAAACTTCTGTAAATTTGACGGGAATGCAACTCTGAGAAATCACGCACGCAAATTGATTTGGATTTATCAAATGGGAAAAACTTGCGTGCGGGCGTAGAAAAACTCGCCGGTAATATTAGATTGAGCTCTTAATAACATTATCCTTCACTGAGAAAAAATCGCGTTGTAAGAAAAAAAATTTTGTATTACCGTTTAAAAATGTTCGTATTTAAATCAAGTGAAAAAGTCTTAACAAAACGGATTTTTCCATTATACATACACTACGTACATATAATGGAAATATTCAATTCAAATACTCCCGTATTAAAATGAAGCATTTTTCACTACACGGATGGCGTTTTGCACGTCTCGGATGCTTTTTCATATGTAATTAAGAAAGTATATGTATACAAAGCATGCACAACGGTGACAACACATACCCCTGCAAAAATCGCGACTACTCCATGCATGCGTGTAAAGAGTACTCCCTAAGGACCAAGAAGTACTCCAAAATTAACCACAATTCACATAAAAAATATGGTCCAATTAACATTGCGATGTCCTAGGGCAGGACCATATACTCCATCCCTGCATTACATCAGAGTAGCACAAAACTACTCCATCATATTAACAATGGCATTGTTGTTATATTTTTTCGTTTATACACGCTTTTGTTCTTCTTTTCTCAAATGCTTTTTCGAAATTAATAAAAACCAAGACAAAAATTAAAAATTACATGTTGTCAGAGGCATTCGAACCCGAACATGCTGGGAGCTAGGAACTAACAGCGAGCATCTCTACACGTTCAGCTACAGCCAGACATGCAAATGTGCTTTCAAATGCTCAACTTCAATCACGTTTCGTTAAAACAC